CCTGGTGTGCACCGCCTCAGTCTTCAACATCGTCCTTATCAGCTTCGACAGGTTCATCTCTGTCACCAAAGCGGTAAGGGCTGGGCAAGAGGTCGTGAAGGGGGGCTGCAGGGGATCCAAGGCTGCCCTTTCCAGCAGGGTGGCTGGCTTAGGGCACCTGGTCACTCCATCTCACTCAACCACCACCAGACAGCGGGGGAGCGAGGCAGTTCCCCTCAGTCCTGGAAATATTTCTGTCAGCAATCAGCTTTGGCAGAAAGAGGATTTGCTTGTTACTATTACACTGGAAGAGGTACTCTGTTTTATAAACAGGCACAGTTTGTATATGCTGCTGTTCCAGCAAGAAGGGCAGAGAGAACAAGGTGTACTTATTTTCTCCCCTGCTACACCTTGGATAATACTTTAAAAGTATTACCCAGCTGAAGCAGACCATCTCCCTCGGAACATGGCAGTGCACCTGTTGACAAAGGATAGCCCAAGCCAGCCTAGCTGCCTCCCAGCTGCAGCACAAGGCAAAGACAGAGCCTCTTGCAATGGGTACCAAGCTTTCAGGGACAATTAGATGTATACATCTGTGTATGGTTCAAAAGTGGCAGAGTATAAGTTAGCATTTGCATCCTTTGAAAGATGTTATTTCCACATAACAGCCACAGAAATAGCTAGACCCTTCCCTTGGTCACGCAGCACCTTGGCTATCACAAGATTAGACTAGACTTTCCAAAATTCAAAAGCTAACTTCATTTTCACCTACATTGTACAGCCTTGAAGTATTTTGGATGGTGCCAAAATAATACGTTTTACCCGTGAATAGGTTTCACTCTTCTACACATACTTCTTGGTTATTCTTCAGGCCCCTGTTCCACCCACATTTCCTTAAAACATTAATTTAGCTTCATTGCTTATTCTAAATCACACTAAGAGACAATGATATTTTTTTAAGCAAACAGGATAAACAATCTGCAAGATCATTTGAACAGTTTATATGCAACTTAGTGTTTTACCACCTTCTTTTTCAAGAGGGAGAAATGAACAGATTAATTCTTAAACAGTCAACACTTACAATTCCTTTATTTTCTAGGTTCTGAATTAGCCATGAATTTTGCTTTCATAAACCAAACGCTCATGACTATACACATAGTATAAATATATAGACTGGGTGGTTTCAGAAACAGAAAGGGAAACCAGTCATAATAAATGGAAAAAAAAAAAATCAGTCACTTCAAAATACTTCACATTAATCCTCCATATAAAAATCCCTCCCCAAGCAAAAGTACAGAAGCTGCCTGTTGGGTTAGGGCAGTATAAGAACATATGAAGAGGAATAGATGAAGTTCTAAATTATTCTCTACCTCAATGAAAATGGTAATCATCCTACAAAACTGCTCCTGAAATCATTAGTAGCTTTACCAAGGATTGCAAAATCAGACCAGATTCAGACAAACTCACAACTCCTCAGCTGTGTTTGGTATTCTGCCAGAACAGCATTGGCTCTGGAGATCCAGGTCCACAGTTGGGCAGTAAACGTGAATCCTCTACAGAATTCAAGCTTGAGGACTTCATATTTGAAAACACTGTGTAGCCACTGTAGAGATGTTAAGACTGAATTCCAGTTCACTATATGAACATTGTCCAGTACACCAGGGAATCAGAATATTGATAAGCAGAACATCTTGATTTTAAGATTCTACTGAATTCTACTGCTGATGTGGTTTACTGACTCAGTATTACTGACATACATACTATTTTTTTTGCACCTTAGATTCTCTATTTTCTAAATAAGGGAAATTAGTTACTCTTCCTGTAAAGCACTTTGCAGACCACAACACTCAATCTATACATCTTAATTGCAGATAAGAGTTCTGCAAGTACTTCATAAAAGAATGACATTAAGGACATCAAACAGAAGTAAAAGCTGCTATACTTTTTTTTTTGGTGTGATTTTCACATTAAAAAAAGGCTCTCTCTACAAAGCAGAAAGAAAAGAGCTTGCATGGGTGTTCTGTAAATTCAGATCCTTTTATGTATTTTAAATTGAATGATGTAAAAATTCTAAGTAAGTGAGTTTTGAAGGGCTGTGTTTTTAGACATTCTGTAAAGTGGTGTGACAGCTAATGCAATTGAGTATGTAATCAACTGGTGACAACCAATTCTAGGAATAGCAGTGGTTAATTGCTTTGGAAAAGCCTTGGTTTTCTAGCTTTTAAGATCCAATGCATGTTCTCAGAAAATATCCAGTCACCTTAATAATGTTTGTTGGAATGGTATTTCAGAAATAGCTCTTCTGTGGTACCAGTAAGCTTGGTATAACCCTCTTCCCTAAACCAATATATTATCAACACTCACAAGTGACTGAGCACCATATTCCAAGGTAGCCACGTAACTGTGTGAGATACTAGTAATGTATGTGACTTAACTTTTCTCTCTCTCAGGTCAGTTACAGGGCTCAGAAAGGGATGACCAGAAATGCAATACTGAAGATGATCACTGTATGGATTGCTGCTTTTCTTCTCTATGGTCCAGCCATTCTCAGTTGGGAGTACATTGCTCAAAAGAGCATCCTCCCTGAAGGAGAATGTCATGCAGAATTCTTCTACAACTGGTATTTCCTAATGATTGCCTCTACTATTGAATTCTTTACACCTTTCATCACTGTTACATACTTTAACTTAAGCATTTACCTCAACATCAGGAAACGCACATCGCTCAGAAATGAAAACCTATTACCTGGTCAAGAGGACTGTGAAATGAGTTTCCAGGGGAAAAAAAGGGAACACACTATATTTTTTGTAAAACCTGCTAACAGACACAAACATGAGAAGAAGCGAGCAAGCAGCCTTTCGCCCCCAAAAAGGGCTTCAAGGCTCAGCCTACATAAGCTTGACAATCAGTCATTAAATCTGAATGTCAATCAAGACCTTCCACCACTTCAGGTAGAAGTCGGGACCAAGCCTCATAGGAATTGTTTCTACAAAACTACAGAAAGCGTATGCAACACCACCAGCAGAGTGGACATTGCTAACACTATGGCAAATAGATTTAGACTTTCGCGGGATAAAAGAGTAGCAAAGTCTTTAGCAATTATTGTCTGTGTGTTTGGTTTGTGTTGGGCTCCATATACACTTTTGATGATCATCAGAGCAGCTTGCCATGGGCGCTGTGTGCAGTATTCACTTTATGAGACTTCATTTTGGCTTCTGTGGGTGAATTCAGCCATTAACCCTGTCCTATATCCACTGTGTCACATAAGCTTTAGGAAAGCCTTTATAAAACTCCTGTGCCCAGGAAAAGCCAAAATTCATCCTCATATCTTTATGTGAAAAAAAAAAAAAAAAGTGTGAAGGCTGACAATTAGTACACCTTGCTTTCAATGGGAGCATAAACTGGCTAATATTCACATGCAAGTATTAAATGCAATGTGCACTGGGTAGTTTATGGAATACTGATAAGGAGGTACAAGTGTAGATATTTATGAATGCATAGAAACACAGCCATCCATGTAGCTGGAATAATCACAGCAATGAAAAGAAAGGTAATTTTTCGAAGCTCTCTGAGAAATGATGCCAGCAGTGTATTTTCTGGTAATGGTGCACTAACAAAGTGCTGAAAAGGGAATAATTAGAGTTTAGGCTCTCTCACTTTTAATAACTGCAAGTATTGCTGGTAAGGCATTTCATACATTGTTAATCTTGGACCTGTTATATTTTACCCCCAATCCCACTCTAAGATGCCAAAGGTCTCAGCTGTTAAGTGTAATACGCTTTTTTCCTCCCTTAGTGGCAAGCCAGACAAGATCATAACCAATGCAAAACCAACCTAAAAACTGGCATCCAGGAAAAAGCATAGGACAAGAGGCACCAGAACAGTCAGGTGACCAGAAAATCTGGTCAATGGTAATAGGTAAGGGAGCACCGATTTAAGTGGAAAAGGTGATTAAGAAATAGGAGAGTAGAATTTTTAGTAGAACTAAGGTTCAGGGACAGGAACATAAATGGGTTTTGAGCTTTGTGATGGGAGATACGAGAATTGGGAGTTTAGACACTGGAAGAGTTTCACTATGAATTTCCTCCCCCAGCTCTGACTTCCTGTCCCCTGCGAGGATCCTGCATGGGCAGGAATTCACTCAAGTCAAACTTCTACTCCTTACAGGACTGACAGATATTACTCTTCTATCTTTTGCTATAAGTACAAGAGTAAGCATGATTAGTCTGAGATCTATGGCAGACAGATCTTGCTATAGACAGAGCTTCAGGTAAAACTTCCCTTGGAGTAATTTGTTTTAAACATTTCCAGTTAGACTCTTACTAGTTCTGGCTAGTTCTCAAAGGCAAAAAAAAAAAAGTTGTTTTCTCCTACCCTACTGGATCTATCCATCCATCAAGTCATCAATGGTCCAAAAAAAAAAAAGTATTATTTGAAGCATTTAGAGATTTAAATCACGCATCATGAATAGCATGAGTCAAAAAAGTATGTTAAAATTTACAACCTTGCTATTGATCATGGATGTGAAAAACAAGAATGAGAACACCGACACACTGTTTCTGTGACTCTGCCTCTGCCACAAGAGAAGCTCACACAGCTAGATCCTAAGTTTTGACTAGATTTGTCCCACAAGAGGTATCAATTTGAACATCACTAGTGATAAAATTTGTTTCCACTGTCATAAGCATTTTTATGTAGCTTAACATTTTCCTTTGCTGACAAGTGATAGCTATTGAACAGCTGTAATTGTACATTACCACAGCCAAAATGCATGTTAGTACAGTTGATCTTAAAGTTTACAGACCATATTTTGAAATAATTTACTTTGTAAAATTTGAATAAAAGTAATTAAGAACTGTGGAAGAGTCATAACTTTGTAGCCTTAGAAGTGGCACATGGAAAACAGCACTAGCCTACAACATTTAGGTAACTGCAGTTGAAACCGCAAAACCATTATTCAAAGACAATTCTTAAGTTACAAGGACTGACCTTGAGCATTAAACAAACACGGTTAGCAAATACTATAAACTAGGAGTGCGTATCTCTACTATATGAATGTATCTACATGAACACGATCATCATGTTCTACTATGGATGTTTTACAACAAAACAATCAGCTTAACAGTTCTCTCAAGAGGAAGAGCATCAACAGATACAGAGCAACATTACGATTTTTGAATAGCATTAATTATACCACTAGGCAAGTAGAGCCATTAGATTCTCCCCCCATTCCTCCCCTCAGAGCCAGTCTTCTACATCAGTAGATCAATGATCTAATTGTTGTCTACTCCATAATTATGTTTCCTAAGATCATATTTGCCTTTTTCAGAAAACAGGTAGCACTAAGTTATTAGACATTCCCACCAAGGTCTCATTCACTATCCAGTCAAGCCAGGACAATTTTCACAACAGCGGTCAACTCAAGGAGTAAGAAGTTCAGTCAGTTAGCTTTAGAATGTTACATTCAGTTAAGGTAAAACAGACATTTCAAAGCTTTCAGCAACTGGCATTAACCTACAGACTAGACCAGTCTTCACAGGAGTTGCCACTGACAATTGCTTCACTGCTCAATTTCCTACAGCTTTGTCATTTAATTGCCACTCATGTCTCTAGCACAGACCTAGAATCCAGTAGGATTCTCCGCTGCTCTCTCAAGATATGTCATAAAAGCATTCTGAAATGTGAACATACATTGTCTCAGCAGCATTTGTAAAAATACTGGTTTTGAACGATAAACTTCTACATTAAAAATGCTAGCAGCCTCCCAGCTTGTCCAGGTTAACTATACCTTGATTGTTTTGTCTCTACAAAACAGAAGTTTCTTTTGGTTTTATCAGAAGGTTCAACATTGGGTTCAACATGGGCTCTGAAGAGACATGAAACAACAGGTGTTAATAGCAACTTTATTGTTTCACTGGTGCAAAATCATGATACTGAATAAACTTGTGTAATGCATTTTCCCCTAAATTTACAGTAATGAAGGTTATACATATCTATATAGATTGCAATTTCTCTATTTTTATACTATTTGGAACAAAATTATCTTGATAAATATGCCCTGTGCACAGTACTGGCCCTCACTGAATGTCACAGAGCCTTAATATGCAAAATATAACTTCTGTTTTTGAACATGGTACTTTAAAACTCTCCAAACATGCATTAATATATTCTAGTTTTTAGGGAAAAATATTACGCTTAGTCTTAACTGGCATTAAAAGAAAAGCACAAGCAGAATCTGACATACAATAATCCCAAAAATCTGATGCTCTGTACGGATCAGACACAGTTTGAGATGACACTCGCTGCCAGTTTAGAACTCTAGTGCTACAGAAGCAACAGTGAACAGACAGAAGAGAAATCAGAACCAGAAGAGCCCTACCATGTCACATGGGTTTCAAAGAAAGTTTTCAGCCATGCTAACTGATGAAACCTGTAGTTGCTGGTCCAACCTTTGAAATTTGTTAGAGTATTCAACACAAGTGTTTGAAGTGCCAGACTGAACACATGAATGTTAACTTGACATTTCTGAAAGGCACAACCTATGAATCTATCTTAAAAAAAACATACGGTATGTAAATGAAAAGTAGTAAGTACAGTGTCTATCTTCCTAAAGAACAAGACCTTCATAAATTGGCCCCTCAGATTCTGGCGATTCCCTCCTCAGACGCAAGTGTTCCAGTGTGTTGTGAAAGTGTTTGTTAATTTGTTCTGTTTCTTCAGTAGACTCAAGGTTTGGGAGATCTTCTCTTATCTTCTGTATGAGCTGATTCAAAACCTGAATTGTCACCTACAGGAGAACATAAACAGAAGTCATCAACAAGAGCTCTGTATAAATGCACAGACATTAGTTTTAACAGCCTTGTCTGTAAATGATTGATATTTGGACAGTTCTCAAATATTGGTAAGACTGTACGCAGATGAGCTGTTGGAGACTGCCTTCCCTTGCTTCTTGTAGGACTATTCTGATTTCAGAGTTCTTCACACAACAATGTGAAGAACTTCTGAAGTCATTAACCTGATAGCTTTGTAACTTTTACCAAAGCATTTCTCTCCAGTTTATTCAATACAAATTTAAAAAGCTTTAAACAAATAAAGCACATAATCAGATTGTCTATGCACTCTAACATAATCTGTTTCTTGTAGCAGTGAGTCAGGACAGCAATATCAGATCTGAAGTTATTCTTGGTAATCAAGTTGTTACCTAGGAAAGTACAGCTGCCTATGCTGCAGAGTCCAGGACTACACAGAACACCACAGCACAAAATGCACTGCAGACCACCGCTGTATCAAGACTATTCTGAGATCTGCGAAGTGCTTGAAATTCAAAGTTTTATTGTCATTCCATTAGATACAGCATCTGCTACACTAGAGCACTACTGTTAGTGGGAAACCAGTTCAGTTGCTGGAAAGTCAGCACATCCCTAAAATGTCTTTAGACATTCTCTCAACACTACAGGGTATTCATTAAGATCTGCTCTTGATCAAATGATGACATCAGATGGGATGCATCTCTCTACTTGACCAAGCAGCTTTTTCAAACTGGATAAATTTTACCAGTTATCTACTAACAGAAAATGGATGAGGTAACTGCTAGGTCAGATTTCAGATGCAGAAATTACGCTGGTACATGTCATGTCTACTTCTTGAAATTAAAGCTTATGCCAACCATTTGTGGCACACTCAGCAGTGACCTTGAACAGATGTAAGAATTTTCTTTCCCTTATGTACATATTAAGTTAGGTACCTCTAAAGTTAGAATCTTACTACTTTCTCAAAGTCCTAGTAAGTTTTGATCTAACAAATATTTCAGCTATCCAACTCTCACAATATTTAAGTTCATAACTAAACTGCAAGTGTTTGATGTTTTCCCCATGTAAGAAGAACGAAGTTTTATCTACAATTTTCCTAGCATATCAAGAATCGCCAACTCTGTTGTTATTACCAGAACTTGTGCCTCTCATGAGAGGCTACAGAACAAGTCGAAGAGACATGATTTGGGGTACAAGCGTGAGTGAAGAGCTTAAAGAAACGTTCTTTAAAAAGATGCGATAGAGAGAATCCATTTCCACTCACCGCCTCATTTTCCTTTTCGTAAAAATAGATATATCTATTCAGAATTTCTATGAAAAGTTGGACTTGCAGAGAAGGGTCCATGCACTGATTTGCTATCTTCAGAGCCTTCTTTAGGCATTCCATCACTCTTTTTCCTCCATGAAGCTAGAATGACAAAACCCCCAAAAGTTGTAAGAAATAAAAGAACCTTAGGGAGCTCCAGTACATCTTCCCTTGCCACATATGTGGCATTACCTGGTGGTCTACCACAGAAACACAAAACTAC